ACTTTCCCTGCCCGGGAGCGCCGCGCATGCGTGGTTCCGCCCCCTGCGCCGGCCGAGGCGTAGCTGGCAAGCGGCAGAGACGGAGCAGGCCGACCACCAGCTGGCCCAGCCCAAGGGAGGTAAGGCACCCGCCGGAAAAGGGGGAAAAAATGGCGGACAGCCTTGCTTGGCGACCCCCGTGAAATGGTCGATCGACCCCCAAATGGGGTCCCGACCCACAGGTTGAGAACCACTGAACCAGAGGCAGATGAAATAATGCCTTTATGAAGCTGGCGACACGAGTGCACAGTGAGGCCAGGTCTCTGGGATGGATCCAGCCCCTGCCTAGGAAGGAGGCTGGTTTGCAAGCCCACCCCAGGCCAGTGGGCCCTTTCAGAGTCAGTCCCCAAGCTCTGCATCTTCACACAGAGCCAGAGAACGAGAATGCCCGATTAGGCCATCCTGAGCCGTTCCTGATGAAACCCTCTCACCCTAGAGCTGAAATCTCCCAACACAATGAGTTTCGGACAACACAACAGAAGGGCAATTGGGATTTTGTATTTGTCATAGAGACCCAGTAGGGGGACTGAAATATAGTAAAGGAAGGACGCTGAAGGATATCGTTAGTCCCAAAGTCACAGAAGGAATAAATGAGGAGGAGGAAGAGGAAGACAACAGGAAAAAGCTACAGGCAGTACTCTGGATGAAAAACACCCATTCATGTTCAGAAATCTAAAATGAATGACCTTGGGAAGTTTGCAAGCAAGAGTCTTTCCGGGAAATTCCCAGTGGTCTTGGGGATAAACACTGTCAGAGGATACAGGCAGACCACAGGAGGATCCATCGTCCTCGACTGGGCGCTTCTCGCTTAGCCCCGGCGTCTCCAAACAAACAAAAATAAAGCAGAAGAAGTTACATTTGGTGGCCGGGACAAGGGCCAGGTCACCAAGGATGCCTGCAGACAGCCAAGAACTGTAGATCAGGTGACAGGAAACGAAAACTCAGAAGGAACTGAGGGTAGGAAGCAAAGGGTGCCAAGAACAACGCAGAGGGCCTTGACGCCTTCAGAGTGAAGAGAGGAAGCATACCAACCGCTCAATAAAGAAGGCAAAATGCTAAGCGCCATCAAACCAGAGGCAGCGCTTCTGAATTCTTGTTCTGATTCCATCTTCCCTAACAAGATGCGTGCAAAAAGGATGAAGGAGCCAGGATGAAGAATGAGGCCGATCGAAATATTCTTGGGGAAGAACTCTCCGAATTAAATGAACTGCCTCCTAGGACAGGGGTAGTCAACCTTGGCTCTTTTATGACTCGTGGACTTCAACTCCCAGAATTCCTGAGCCTGCTCAGGAATTCTGGGAGTTGAAGTCCACGAGTCATAAAAGAGCCAAGGTTGACTACCCCTGTCCTAGGATATCGAAGGATCCTGCAGCTTGTTTGGCCGACCTCATGCTTAATCACTGAGAATCCTGCAGAACTGGCAATTGCCAGATGACAGAACTGTGTGTGTGTTGGGGGGGGGGGGGGCTGGAGAATCTGCAAAAAAGAAAGTCTATAACTTGGAAAGATTCTGGAGCAGATCATGAAGAGGTCAATCTGGAGCAATACAGCTCCCGCCAGATGTTAGCATGGATTTGTCAAGGACAAATCTTGCCACATCAACCTTTCATCATGTGGAGCGATCTCCTCAGTCGATCATGTAAATGCGGTTGACATCAGATACCTTAATATCAGCAAAGGATTTGGGAAAATTATCCTTGTCGTGCTGATTAAAGGGTGGGCTGCTAGAGGGCAAAAAAATCCAACAGATGCAGCCCTCCCTTATTTCTTTATCCTGGTTTCTGGCTTAAAAAAAGGCAGGTCCCACGTGCCACAAGGACCAATCCTGGGTGGTTGAAGGAGCCAGGAACGTGAGGGAGGGAAGGGGGCCCTTTCAGAAGGGACCCCAAGGTCCAGGGGGAGAGAGAGGTGCGAGAAAAGCTCCACCTTAGCTGCACCAGGTATAAGTTGGTCTGGAGACCGTTTTGGTAGACTTCCATAATTCTATCACATCACCCTCCTAGCCATCCAGATTCTTCCAGAAAACTAACTGCTTCTGGTTTTCTGAATCTGCCAGCCTAGTTGGGTACCGAAATATCTGCAAGAAAACAACCAAGCCCAGCCGGCAGCGAGGACTCCACTTGTTTTTCCCCCCGTTCAATTGTAAGTCCAATTCTCAAAGACCGCGGCAATATTTCCACTCCATTCCAGGCATCCCATAAGCCCAACCTTCACCTTCAAGGCCATCTTACGGGCACTCCACTCCTTGGCTTCCAACGCCATCGGTTGCAAACTTATCCTTCAGGCGGGCTCGGGTCTTTTCCTTGTAATTGCGTTTGCAGGGGGGGAAAAAAGTGGGAATATTGGGAAAACCCCAGGGCGGTTTATTTATTAATTCAACGCACATGAACAGTTGCAAGCAGCAAAGGTGCCAGTGGGGGTCTTCCTATGAAGTTGACAAACTCCCAAGCGGGGCCATGGCACAAGGAGCCGTCCGGTCTTTTCAGGACTCCGAGCCTCATAGATCAGTGGTTCTCAACCTGTGGGTTGGGACCCCATTTGGGGTCGATCGACCATTTCACGGGGGTCGCCAAGCAAGGCTGTCTGCCATTTTTTTTGTCTGCCATTTTTTTTGTCCACCATTTTTTCCCCCTTTTCCGGCGGGTGCCTTACCTCCCTTGGGCTGGGCCAGCTGGTGGTCGGCCTGCTCCGTCTCTGCCGCTTGCCAGCTACGCCTCGGCCGGCGCAGGGGGCGGAACCACGCATGTGCGGTGCTCCCGGGCAGGGAAAGTCCTCGACTTACGACCGGTTGGGTAGTCCTCGACTTACGACCGGTTTAGTCCTCGACTTACGACCGGTTGGGGTCACGGCATTAAAAAGGTTGAGAACCACTGCCATAGATAATACCGCGGGGCGAGGATCACGGTTCGGGCTGCCTGTCTCGGTTCCGGAGGGGCAGCTGCGGGGTCGGGGGCAGCAGAACCCCCCCCCCACCGCTCCCCGGAGGGACGAGCCCCCCACTGCCCGTTCCTCCCAGGCGTCGTGACGTCAGCATCCCCGGCCTCATTTGCATAACCCCCCTGGCGCCCAATCCCGCGGCGCGCCCCGCTTGGCCTACGCGAGCCCAGCCAGTCAGCGAGCGCGGGGCCGGGCCACCACGTGCTGTTGCTAAGCTTCGGCTTCGGAGTTGTTGCTATAGCGGCCGGCCTATGAGCGTCCACGCCGTCCACGCCGTCCGCCTCCGAGGGCGGGCCCAGCGTCGCCGTCCGGGCCGGCGATTGGCCGCGCGGCGGCTCCGCCTCCGGCGACTGGCGGGCGCGGCTGCCCGTCGAGCGAGCGAGCGAGCGCCCTGCCTGCCAACCGGGGCGGGAGGGGAGCCCGAGCAGGCGGCGGCCGAGGCGGCGATGGAGTGGAACTCGCTGCTGATGCTGCTGGAGGCCGCCGAGTACCTGGAGCGGCGCGAGCGGGGTGCGCGGAGGGCGGGGGGCTCCGGGGCGGGAGGGCAGGCGGGCGAGGGCGGCGGGGCCTGCCTTGACGCGGCGCTTTCTTCCCGCAGAGGCCGAGCACGGCTACGCCTCCGCGCTGCCCTTCGAGCGGGCCTGCGCCCGGGGGAGGACCGCCGCCAGGAAGGCCCCCAGCAGCCGGTGAGTGGACGGGGGAGGCCGCCGCCATCTTCCCTCCCCCCCCTCCCCGCGGGGCTCCCTCCTTCTCGGCGCCGCCG